ATCATGGAGAGGTCAGTTGGCGAACCATGGAAAACTTCAGAACATTGAACAGCTGTTCCGTCCTATTATGGGACTCACAAGGGATGTGCATCAATGATCTCATCGGGAATCGAACCCAGGACTCCCGGTTTTAGAAGCAAACACACTGGCACTGGGTCGGAACCTGTCTCAAAACCCTTAAATTTCAACAAACCTTCAAGCCAAATGTCCAGTACTCATTGGTTACGCTCTTTGAGGTGGCTTTCTGAAGTTCAAATGAAAAACCGTGACTTGTGAGGCTAACCAAGTTGGGTACGAAGACAAATACCAAACAGTTACAATGGACAATGATCATGCTATATTGCGAGTTCGTAGAAGTGAGGGAATTCGGACCATTGGCTTCTGATCCAGTGAGATAGCTGTAACGAGCTCACCGCAAAAACGGAACATTCTGGGCTTAATACCCAGTGCAGCCTTGGGTATACACTGAAGAATCTCCTAGTGGGACGAAACAAATGTCCAGTGCTCTCAGACGTTTAGTGGTCTCCCCAATGATGTCAAATCCTAATGAATACCACCTTTAAATAACGGTTTTCTACTTCGTTCGGTTGTTGGAACAGTTGCAATATCAGCTGGAACTCTGACAGATGTTACTGAAGTTTCCTCAGTTCAGCGGCTCATCAGTGTAAAGATATCTACTCCGAACTAGTCCGCAGACTGGATTTAAGACTTAGATTCGTGGTACTTGTGTTAGAACTCAATGAATGCCTTGTTGGGAAAAGTAACTTGGGCAGGGAAGACGAATCAAACAGGATTCAGTAAACTGCAAAAACACATGTCTTGGCAAATCAAGAATTCCTGAAGTATAAATCTGAAACATGTAGTAAAGAAATTTTCCGGTGGATAAAGGATAGAAGAGAAGGATCTATCCTACCAGTTATGAAACAATGAGTAGAACGAAGAATTATCATATGCACAGATGCTGGGAAGTCAGACTTACTATTATTCGAAATGCGTAACATCTATCATCTTATTGCTCATAAAAAGCACTTTGTTGGTCTGACAAAAAAACGTCCAAAGTATGCAAAGATGTCTTAGAAAATTTTTTGAATCTTCAAGAAGATTGCACGGGGATATAATATGATTTCCCATGGATGAATGGTACTACAAACAGTGTGTTTTTTATAGGTGATGGACTTATTGAAAATCCAGATCACTTTATTTCTTATGTTAAACAGTTTTATAACTTGTTAACTTAATGCCATTCTTCCTATTAATTTCGCTTTCGATTGGTCACCGAATACGGAGAAATGATAAGCTGTCGCTTAAGTTTAGTTTAACCAAAAAATCTTTAATTTTCCAAAAAGTCTATCTTTTTATCCTGTGGAAATCTCCGAAGTTTTCTGAAGGACCATTTCAAGGTGGTTTTTCTGAAGCCCGCGAAATACAGCTCAATTTAATAAGTTAATTCATGGTCATAGTCAGACACGAACATAAATTTCAAAGTTTAATTCTGCTGACCAGTTACGCACTGAGCTGTACGATCGTCTAATAGCATTTATTCATATTTCAAAGCTTGATAAGATGATTCACATGCTATGCTGTACTTTTCAAAATACTAAAAAAAATGAATTGTCTACGAAGATGTCAATAATGACCATTGACCTGAATCCTTATAACAATTTGATATAACGCTCTCTAGACTTATTAATGCCGTTGTTAATCATAAGAAGACATCGAAGACGTCTACATTTGAGAGATTACATACAAAGAATACTACATACTCTCCGCCAAATACCTCAGGACAGATGATATCAAATCATGTTTTTTTATGAGGCAAATCCCAATTCTGAAATAATTATCGCTTCCTAATCTTAATTATCATGAATTATATGTGCAGACGATAAAATGGGCTAACTGCTGAGACTTCTCATGCTTCATCTAAAGTGCCAACTATAATGGGATAATTATCTCCTTCAACAGTTCAGAATGATCAGTCCCATTTGATGAAAACTTCCAATGCTAAATCAGGGAAGGTGCATTCATTGACTAGACACTGAAAGTGTGATAATATCCAAGAAGGATCTGCTGCCATTTTGAGATGATGTACAGTTAAAACCTACCACATGTCTAATCACAGTTATAACTGTCCGTAAGTTACCTTTTGTTGATACAGTTGGCATTCCTTTGAAGATCAACAATATTGGCTTTGTAAAGATTCTTTTCAATGCTAGCGAATACTGCGCAAGAGTTCTGGGTTCGTAGGAGCTCATATTATTGAATTTACGGATATCCTTAGGCACTAACGCACTTGATGAGTCCTTGCTAAACAGACCAATCATGTGCCATTCATGATCTTCGGGCGAAATGAACATTCAGCCTTTACGTATAAAAATAAAAGTTGATCATGTTTTCTTGAAACATCAATCGATCCCATGAAGCTTAAACGAAGCAGTTAATAAAGAATTGGGTAATTCCGTTGAAAATAACATACTTATATCAGTTGTCTTCGAAATAGGCTAATCTTACCGTGACACTACTGGAGGTAGATGGAAAAATACCAAGAATCTATGGGGATTATTGTCTAAATCTTAATAATCCGCCAATACAACAAAGTTGCACTGCAAAAAAACCTAAGAATATCCTTGAATAGTTACGTGCATCGGAATACTCTTCGAAAATATATTTAAAAGATGAACATTTACAAATTTCTCTTGATCAAGCTTCTAGCTCTTCTCAAACTATTATCGCTTTATTTAAGATGCTTAGATATAAATTCTTACCCTTCGGATCAACAGCAAAACAACAATACTTCAAACGGTTATGAATCAGATGGCAGGTAGATTACATGTTGTCGAATCTTATCAAGATGAAATCATAGTTCATAGTCCGAATATTGAAGTACATTGCATAATGAATGCCTCTCAAAACTGTTCAGGTGTTTCCTTGACAAGAATGTAGCAGTTAATTCATCCAAATGTCAACTTGATTAGACACCTGTGTCTTGCTTAGGATGCAGCCTACATGCCACGGGTTTTAAACCTGATATAAGTCATCTCACTGCAGTGGTTCAAGCACATTCACCAACAAATATGTCATCTTCGAGATGATAGGATGCTACCTTGCAGATCTACTACAAATTTATTCTAAAATCCATGTAATTATTGCCTCAAATTCTCAGTGTTGTTTTTAGTCAACAATTTGCGTTCAGACAACGCCATGAAAACATTTTACGAAACACTTTGAATTTTCTGAATAACCAGGTTTTCTCAGACCTTTTTCACCATAGGATAATTCTGTTCTTACCAAAGTTGCATTTAATTCTGAAAAAACATAAATGGATATCTAAGCAGTAGGCCGTCTTCACAAGTATCTGTTCAGTACGAAGTTTCATATGGTCATTGATCACAAGCTTTGGAATTCACTTACGTTAATTGAATTTAGTACTGGTACTGAGTGCTTGTGAACGTACAATTAAGCACAGACAAGTCAAAGATTTACTTCATGAGAAATTCTTGTCATGTTACTCAGCATTCGACAGTTCTTCTACCGATACGTAGGCGGCCTGCTTGAACTCTGGGCTACCGCTTTCTATCATCGGGTATATTGCATCAAATTTCTTATTTCTATATTGTTTTAATCGTTCAGTTATGCCAACCAATCGTATTGCATATTCTCGCGCGCTTTTAAAATCATTATAACCTATCGCTTCGCAAGTTGATAGGAAATTTAAGAAGAAGCACCACGGTGGATGGCAACGAGCCCTGAAGCGTATGACCATAGATCAAATGACTATTCCCGAAATACTTAGCAAAAACTGCAGGTCGTTGCCGAATAAAGTTGATTACCTTGTAGTGCACCTTCCTGGCACCAAAATATAACTAGGGCTAAAATGAATAGTTTAAATTAAATTAACTAAATAAATCTCTAGCTTGCCTCCGGATGCTTAGGGTGTTTTAAGTTTTGTTTTAACGAGCATGCATCCAAGCAGATTTGGACGCCATTTTGCGCTCCATTGTGCTGATTACCACGCACGTACTCCGAGTCCCTAGTTCAGCCTTACAAGCCAGATAAGTTGATTAAACTTTTTCCCCATTCATTATTATTACAGTTACTTTAATTAAACACATAGCTCCTTCAAATACATTGCGTATCAGTTCTTTTGATTTGTGTTTTGTTATCAGTACTTGCACGTTAGGTAAAGTACTGATTAAGCAGGTACTAGAGCACATCAAGTTAAGTGGGGTTGATCAAACATTACGGAACTGTAACACGCACCCTTACAACCTTCAGTCACTCTTGTCCACAAATGCTTATCGGAAAACGGGTGTAGTAATGCTGCAGGAAACATGGCTTCATAATCTGTATGATGGTGACTTAGTCTGCTTAGGTGGTTTCAGATTGTTTCGACAAGATCTAAGCTTTTCGAAGAAGAAATGTGGTGTAGCAACATTTATTAGTACTAACTGGTCGTCCTCCAACTATGTATTTCATTGGGTCATAAAAATATGGTTAACTTTTCCACTCGTCTTGACAACACCTTAGACTTTGCATTTACAAATGAACCTGGCATATATGAAGCCCGTAAACGGGCTCCACTGCTAAATTCCGACCACTGTATCGTTCGTGTTTTGCCTAAAGTGTACGGAAAATTATACAAGAAAGCTTTTGCATACCTTTCAAGGAAAGTTCAATACAGATGCTATTCACAAGAAAATATATTACGTTTGAGAAGCATGCTTATAGAAACGGACTGGGATATATTTGCTGATGAAGTTTTAGACAACACTATTACCAATATCACAAGCTATCTCAGATTCTGTCTCGATATCTGCTGCCCTACTGAAACAATTTACATGAGATTTGACAGACTTTCCTCTCCTCATCTCAAGAGGCTTCGGAGAGAAAAGGAAAGGTTGTATAAGGCGAGAGATCACCCTGGCGTTAAAAGGCTTAACTGCCTAATTAAGTCTGAAATACAACGTCTGAATACTATATACAACGAGAAGTTCTTATCGTGTAAGAACTCTTCCAATATATGGAAATTATTTAAAGAGCTTACTGGTAAAAAACAGATGACAACACAAACTCGTTCGGATGTCTGCGCGTTAAACAAGTCATTTATACGTCGGCAAGCTAATTTCACCCTTCCTAATGTGCAAAATCAAGTGGATAGCTGCTTTCCAGGTTTCAATACAAATGATGTATTTAAATGTCTAAAGTCTTTGAATCCCTCCCAAAGCTTAGGTCCTGATGGTGTTTCTAGTATCATATTTAGAAAATGTGCAGATATTTTGTGTCATCCACTTACAGATATCTTCAATGTATCGTTCTCTAAAAACATAATACCCACTGCTTGGAAGCAGATAAAAATTGTACCTGTGCCTAAGCCATCTTCTGGATCAGATGTTACTTTTCGACCCATCGCTATAACTTCCCCTTTTCTGAAGACAATGGAGAAATTACTTCTGCTTGTGATTGAGCCTTCATTGATGGCCTTCAGAGATCCAAAACAGTTTGCTTACAAACACCGGAGGAGTACTTTAGATGCAGCTACTGTCTTGCATCATAATATTGTTTCTAGTCTCGACAAAGGTGTTAAGTATGTCCGTTGTGCCTTTTTGGATTACTCATCAGCCTTTGACTCTGTTCCTAGACCACTTTTGTTAAATAAGCTTGCCATAGCTCACACTGATCCATGGGTTACAAAATGGCTGCATTCTTATTTTTCTGAAAGGAAACAGTACACTATTCATAAAGGATGCGCTCCACTTCATTGCTTACTGAAGCTGGTGTGCCTCAAGGTGCTGTACTTTCTCCTTTTCTGTTTTCCTTTTTTTGCACGATTTGCCTTATTCTGTTGAAACTAATTTTATCAAGTATGCTGACGACCTGACGATTTCTATTCCAGTAAACTCTTCTTTGGATTGCTCGAAATTAAATGAATTCTTGTCTGAAGTTGGTAAATGGTCTCTCTCAAATGGTCTCAAACTAAACCCCTCTAAATGTCAGACCGTTAATTTTAGCCTCAGGCGTAAACAAGACTTATGTGAGCTGCTTAAATCTCATGACGCCTGCTGCATCAATGGTATTTCTGCAGAAAGTAAATCGAGTGTGAACTATCTTGGGTTGCGTTTTACTTCTGACCTTTGTTGGTCGTCCCATATTTTATTGACTTGTAAAAAAATCTTTCGTTTAACTTATTACGTAAAGAAATTGAGGCTTTCTGGTATAACTCAACTGCTTCTTTTACAATTTATTAATTCCTGCATTTTACCTATTCTTCTATATTGTTCCCCATTAATCTTTCCTGGTCTTCTTAAAAAGGACTATGTTATGTTGCGTAGGGCTTTGAAGACCGTCAGCAGGGTGAGTGGTGTGTCTCTGGCTCAACTGATTAACACTGTAGTTGATCGACATATAAATTCCTGCAAGCTACTAGCTACAGAAATTTTAACTGACAGTGAGCATCCACTTCATTTACAGCTCTCTCCATGTATCTCCTCAGGGAGGACAAGGAGAAACTACATAAGACTGTATGCTCGTACAGCTAAGTATAAGAATTCGACTGTACCTTACCTTGCACGCATATTTTGTGAGGAAAAAAGTGTTAGAACAGAAATCACACATCAACTTTGTGACAGTTAAAAATCTCATTTCAATAATTTAACTTACAATGCAAAATTTTCTCGTTTTTAATATTCTTCACATAACTTAAATTTTTATAATAAAACAATTTAAAAGGCTGCAAAGTAGTATGTATATACTTATATTTTGTTGTTATTGCAATATATATTACGCTGAGAATTCCAAATTGTACCACAAATTGTTTGGAATAAAGTGAATTATTATTATTATTATTACCGACTGCTTATTAATTCAGCCATCATTTGTTGACCGAATACAACTCATATAGGATACTTGGAAGTTCTATAAACAAAGAGATGAAACATTACTATATCCAGAAAGATGCTTATGTTTGAATGACAGGAATATTATTCCTTCAAAATTGAGACCTGCTGTCTTGGATGATCTTCATTCTGCACACCTGAAAACTGAGAAAATGAAATCATTGGCAAGCGTTCTACACTGGTGACTGGAAATTGATGCTAGTAATATGAGAAAGTCAAAGAGTTGTTCTGATTGTCTACACAAGATGTCATGAGGGAAATTATTGTGGAATTCATGGCCTGAGTCTTGTGTCACATGGCAACACATTCAAGTGGATTACTATGGTCTCTGCCTAAACTTATACAAGACTTTAGTTATGGTAGACTCTTATTTCAAATGGCCATCACTAATACTTGCAAATATTCGTCATGTAAGATTCACACAAAACAATGAGGAAGAATTTCAGTAGTGAGGTAATACTTAATATCTAAGCCACTGTTAATGGAACTGATTTTACTGAGAACTTCAATGGCTGACTTAGAAATGTCGGTTGCCATCTCATATCTAAAGCCTCATTTTATCCTAGTCAAATAATTTGGCAGAGAACTTTGTGTAGACATTAAAGATTGCAACAGCATCATATAATTCAAGCATACCAACCTGAAGCCAGTAAATCCTCACAAACCTCAAAATTGCATTTTAGAAGAGCTAGGAAATATGCCTTGGTAATTTCTTACTTTGCTGTCGGAATGTATAATACACAACTTCTCAAGAAAGTTCAGACAAACTCTTCAAATCTCGAATTCTTGGAATAGATTTGATAACTTTGAATTCATCAAATCTATGCCATTACCAAGGAAATGATTGTTGATCATCTGTAGGAATTATACTACAGAAAATGGGAAACAGTACGATAAAGATTCTGGATTAGAAGATCACTCAGTTCACAACAGACTCATAGATCAAACAAATATAATATTAGTATTCAAGTTGTTAGTACCAATAATTTCCTTCCCAGTCTTAACTTGGTAGATAATTTTGGGGTGCAAATAAATAATGTCAGTGAGAATACCAATACATAATCAGTTAGAAGATCTGGAATACTTGAGAATAAACCTGAAGTTACTTGTAAACAGACAGGTTGACAGCTGACGTTTGGTGAATATTGTGAATAATTATTTAAAGTATTGTAAACAATAATTATACTATTATTCATTATTATTTGCTTCTGTTTATTGCACATACAATAATACAAATAATTCCATAAATAGCAAAATGTTAGCTTCTACCTGTTTGGTAAGATAGTTCAATCCATAACAATTCCGTTTTTATGAAATACAAGTCTTATCTCGGCATAACTGTGTGAAGTTGAAACGAAGGTGCTGAAATCCAAAAGGAGTGATATGGTAGCTGAAGAGATTGAGTTAACATATATATGATTTGAAGATTATTTATTCTTTAATTATGCTACGAATTTAGTATGTTAATCTGGATTTTCGCAGAAATAGATATGAAATATAAAGCGAAACTGTAAACAGCTGTGATCTTATGAAATTGTGATCGGCATAACTGTTAGTCGAAGCAACTACTTCAAAATCACTTCATACTTTCTTGTTATAAAAAGCTGATCATTTACTGTGAATACTGTCACAGAAACTACAAATAGTTTTTAGCCCATTTCAACTATTATATAGCAAACATTGAAAAGGGCAAGTATATTCACTAATCTTTTCTCCATAGTTATAAGTATAACCTTGTTTCTCTAAATGAAAGTTTAGGCACTGAATTTCATCAATGTACGTGAATGTTCTGTGAACGGGTTCTGAAGACAGCGGCATACAATTCTTTAAACTGAGAATAAACTATGCTACATCGACTTCAATTGATAAATTTAGAACGAAAAACAGTACTTTTTACTGGCTGACAATCCAAACACAATTTATCCTTCATAACCAATAACAAGGTGACATTAATCAAACACCTGAAAGTTCTCCTTCAAAAGAAAATATAATTTAAAGAACACATGGGAACTAGTTAGCATTGGACATCTCTTACATTCTTCCCAAAATATGCACTTAGAAGTTCCCACTGCTGGGTCGAACAATAATCTTTAACATGTATATAAAAATGACACGTATTTCAGAAAAGGATATTAAAGGGTGAATGCAGTTGAATAACTTGATTATCCGTAGATCATGCCAATATACACAGTTGTTTCGGCTTGCATCTCTAAATAAGAATCAGATTGTGACAAGAAAGTGCATTCTTGTAAAACTGAAGTGAAAAAAGGGAAATTAGATTAGCTGTAATTGACAACGCAACAAAAAAACAGATATATCACTGCACCCTCCCCCAGATGAATGCATGATGCTCAGTCAGAAATGCATGCGAAAAATTATTCCTCTTATGGCACCAAACAACAGTTAGCATTGACGTTGTACCACAACCTAGCGGCAGAAATGGAAACGGTGAATACTGAAATAAGCGGTGACCACCCAGCGTTTTTTATTTAAGTACAATTTTTTGGTCGACAGCTTTTATCTTTGGATACTTGGTTTACCATAGAACAATATGACAGCTGCTTTCGGAGAATAAATGTGTAATTCATCACTTAGTCACTGTCTGTCGAACATTGTCACACTTCATTATTTTGTCAACATAGTTAACACCAATGCGAAAATTTGAGATTACAGCTAGGAGCTGAACAACCCGATACTGAATATACTGGGGTACATCAATCAACGCAGGAATTCTTATTCCCTTCTAGTCATTGTTAAGTTGAAAGAATGGTTTCATGGTATTCATAGTTTTTATTTTACAGTCTAGTATAAACCTCTAATACCTGTCATATCTAGCATAAGCCTAATCATGAAGATATAATTTTAACATTTTCCACCTACCTAATTATAGGAAACTGTAGATTTCTGCGTAATAAGTGCACTGTATTTTGCATCACATTTTTATGTGTACCGGCAAAAGAGGTCCAGGCAACTGGATAAAAAAGATTAAATTAATTGTACTCTCTAACTTTAGGTTAAACAGGAAACAATGAAAGAATGCGATAAATATCTGGTCAAAAACCCAGTTTCGAAGGTTTAGCTGTGACGTTTCTTACTTTCAGCGTTTTTCTGTCAGCATAATCTATTGAAACACAATCATTCCAGCAAAGATAAGTAATAAAGACATTTCCTCGTTTTGAAATAACTAGCAATTTTCAACTTTGTGAAGCAACTACTTTCGTGTATTTTTTTGCCAGCATGTGTCTGAAATCGGCAGAAATAGTACATATACATTGTTCACATTTTATCCATATGTAAACATAGATGTCGCTTGTGTTTGGCTTTTCTCATGACTATTAAAGCGTTTATTTTGTAATAATAAACAATAAAATGAGGTGCTTCCGCCAGTCCAAACCAAATGACAATGAACATATAAACAGAAAAAAAAAGGAAGGAAACTTGGTTTTGTCTTTTTTAAGTTTAAAAGTTTTTTTGGTTTCAAATGGCCGTGTTGATGTTCCACCCTAGTTAAAAGACAACAATTAGGTTAAGTTTACAGTAGGTATCAAAAATGACTAAAGACATCGTACTTATATTGAGGCTTGACGACGTTGACATTGTAGAATGAAACCAAAAATCAGTGACCATATATTTTATTACTTATTTGAGAAATTTCTTACTGTTTTCCTTTCATACGTTTTGATTTTATCTATTTCTTTACATCCATTTCTTCAACAAATTTTCACTGCTATCTATCATGCCTTTTAAAAAAGGAATTCCCTCTTTTGCTTTCATTCGTTTTTACGTATTCTTCTGCTTTGTTTTCACCTCATAACTTCTCTTGTATATTTGTAGCCTCTTCAATGAC